AATAAATAAATAATTCTGTCAACATTTATTTGCTCTACAGCGTGAGCCCCCAAGGAGGCGTGGGGCATCCCCTCCGCGCTGGGTCCTCTCTACGAAGCCTCTTGTCACACGTCCTGCAGAGCAAGCCTGCCTGCCACAGACAGGAAGCGGGTCCCTCCAGGTTCCCTCAGCCACCAGCGCCCAAGGCCATATGCGAAGGGTGATGGCTTCAGAGACCCCCTGGGGTAGAAACACTACCTGGCAGAAGCCCCTTTCATTTCACTAAATGACTCCGTGTGACCCTGTCTGTGGGCTGCAACCTTAGGTACTTGTTACATATACAGGTTCCTGCCCGGCCGGTGTGGCTCGGTGGGTGAGCATCAACCCATGAATCAGGAGGTCGCGGTTCGATTCCCGGTCAGGGTACATGCCCCGGGTTGTGGGCTAGATCCCCAGTGGCAAAAGGAGGGGGGGGTGCAAGAGGCTGCAGATCCATGAGTCTCATTATTGATGTTTCTCTCTCTCTCTCTCTCTCCCTCCCCCTCTGAAATCAATAAAAATAGATTTTTAAAAAATACACACACACACACACACACACACACACACACACCCCTGGCCCATCTTACATCTCAGAAACCAGGCTGGGGCTGGGAGGGGGTGCAGGGCCGTGGCTTGGCGCCCTTTCCACCCCGCCCAGTGATTCAGCCAAGGAACCAGGCTGGGAGTCATTCCCATGAATGAGGCACGTGGTCTCTGCTCCCCTCTCCAAAGTGAACTTGAACTACACCCCTCACACACTGGCCCAGACATGCTGGCCTTCTTCCCCCCCCGCTCCTCCACCTCCCAGTGCTTAGATCTCAGTGCCAAGGCCTCTCCACTCAGGCTCACCCCAGCACATCCTGGATTACATTCTGTTTCTCCTGTTCGGTGACTGTCTCTCCCCAGCAGTCTGTAAGCTTCGCCTCACCTCACCACCCACAGCCCATTGCCTGTATAGACAGTAGGTGCAGCATAGGTGGCTACCAAATGAATACACACAGTGGCACAGATACACACAAAAAGGGCAGGGACTGGTTAATTCTAGAAGGTGGTAGAGGAACCACTCACAGCAGAGAGAGAGCTAAGGGCAGGCCAGACAGCAGCAAGCCATTCATCTGCCCCATTTCCCTCGCCCCCACGTCCTGTGCAGACTCCCCACCTCCCCCCAAGGCAGGTTCCCTTACAGCCCAATGGAGAACCAAGTCCCATATTCCCAGAACACACAAGGAGCCAGAAGAGTCTCAAAACGTTTATTGTCATCCAAATACTTCATACAAAAAGGGACATCGCAACTGGGTCAGGGTTTATGAAAAAATATCCAAAAATGCAGGTTTGTAGACATTTCTCTATTTACATCCGACAGAGAGAGAGCTAAGGGCAGGCCAGACAGCAGGAAGGATTCATCTGCCCCATTTCCCTCGCCCCCACTTCCAGTGCAGACTCCCCACCTCCCCCCAAGGCAGGTTCCCTTACAGCCCAGTGGAGAACCAAGTCCCGTATTCCCAGAACACCATCAGGAACAAGGAGCCAGAAGAGTCTCGAAACGTTTATTGTCATCCAAATACTTCATACAAAAAGGGACATAGCAACTGGGTCAGGGTTTATGAAAAAATATCCGAAAATGCAGGTTTGTAGACATTTCTCTATTTACATCCGGGAGCCGGCTCTCCCCGCGTCACGCGTCACGCATCATGCACAGCAGCTGCACTTGTCGGAGGCTCCCTTGCAGACACAGCCATGGGCGCACTTGGCACAGCCCACAGGGCAGCAGGTGCAGCAGCCTGGGGGGAAAGGGCAGAGGGAGAAGTCAGCACACGTTACAGGCACCTCCCTGCCCAGCAGCAGGCCTGGCACAAGCTACCCCACCAACCCCAGACGAGCCTGAGTTTCAGATGGCAGGTGGGAACCTTTGGAAAGGGTCCCACCCCTAGGAAACGGCTGCTCTGCCATCCTGGGCCCGGACAGGTCAGAAATCTTAAAGAGGCAGTGCCAGGGCCTGGGGGAAAGGGGTTGGGGGGCGGGATGTAAGGGGATAGAGGAGAAGGCAATGGAGTCCGCCCCCAGCCTCCCAGGACCATACAATGAAGTGAGGAAAGTCCTCAAGATCAGGGAGGGGGCAAACCCCGGCAGTGCCCAGGAGGGTCCAGAAAGCTTTGGGCTGACTAGAGGGAAAGGGCTGCACCAGCAGGTGGGAGAGACCAAGTTCATGTGCATAAAGGGTCAGGACACTGGAGGGGTCAGAAGGCTCCATCATCAGAACACAGGTTCTAGCTGGGGCTCCATCCCCAACACTGTTTGCTGACTCGACTCCCCTGGACCTCAGTGTCCCCTTCTAGAAGGAGAGGTTAGACTCCACGGCTCTCTCAGCTCTGGTTCTGATCCAGTGGCTGGGGAAGTGGGGTCCGCGGGTGCCTGCTGAGCTCTGGGCTCCCTCCCCACTTAGTTCACCCCCCAAGTTCCCAGGAAGGGCCCTCACTCACTCTTCTTGCAGGAGGTGCATTTGCACTCTTTGCATTTGCAGGAGCCAGCGCAGGCGCAGGAGCCACCTGCAAGGAGGAGAAAGATGAGCAGTGAGATGCCTGATGCAGGAGACACAGCCGTCAATCAACCATCGCACCCTGCCCCTCCTCTGTGCCACCGGTACTGGGAGCTCCTTTCCCACTGCGGGAAGTTAAAGTCAAGCTTCACTCTCTTTTTGTCCCAGGAAGGTAGGTCCCCTCCTGGTTTACCCCAAAGGGAGGTCCCAGGCTCCACACACAGCCCACAGACTGGGGCTGGGGCCCGGGTCCTATATCCTCAACTGCCAACAGGCAATGTCCCCACCGCCCATCAAGTCGTGCAAAGAACACCGGGTCCCA